CTCAGTCATGTTCTGCTACCAAGTCTGACAAGGGTCCACTGTCTCAGCTGAGGACCGCCGTGAGGTGCAAGAGAGTCAAAACACTGAGGATAAGAGCTCTATGAAACGAGTTGAACTACCCTCCAGTCCCACGGCACACTGAGCACAGCAGTACAAAACACTGGGGGCAGTGAGAAGGTAGCCTATCATGAGTTGCAGCACTCCTTGCTGCAACTCCAGCCCACGTGTAAATATAAATAAGCCCCGCTAGCTGCATGCAAATATGCCCTTGACAATTGTTACACACCTAGTTGGCCCTCCCTAGGCCGCCCCCATGCCAGTATAAAACATCTGCACGACCGTTAGGGCCACAACACTATTTCCTTAGATGTCTGCGCGTTGCTCGCACGACTGGAGAAGACCGTAAGAATAAAACTTAGTCCTAGCTGTTTGTCTGGTTTCCGAACGAGCAATTAACTCGCCCTCGGAGCTCTTAAGAAATACTAGAGAGGCGCTCAAGTGTTGGTCATCCGACCCTAAAAGCGGTATGCATGCCCTAGACCCCAAGGGGACGCAGAGGGCTCCCGCAAAGACCTTGCTAGTGTTTCCAAGCCTCGCCGCAGGATGCATTTGTTGAATCTGCGAGGAAGAAGGGGTTTTAGGAGGCGGTCGCGCGTGCATGATTTTTGTTGCTTGAAAGAGACGGCCTCAATGTAAAAGGACCCCCGACCAATTGAGAACGCGCGGGCTTTTTCCTACTCATACATCTTGGCTAGTTTCGCTTTCTCTGCGTTTCATTTNCTTTCTCTGCGTTTCATTTGTTTACCTTCCGAGTCCGGGATGGTGCGATTGTTTCTATAAAAGCCTTCAGCGAGGCGCTGCCGATGCCGTATTAGGAGGGCATGCAGGCGGCTGAAGAGAAGCGGCTGGTAGCCTTGTCGTCTTTATTCTGCCAGTTTTAATTGTTTAAACAGATTCCTTTCTATATTCTTTTTGTCCTCTCCTCTTGTTTGGTAGGGTTCCTGTTTGCTCCCGCAGAGAGCAAGCGCGACCCTTTCTCGTTGAAGGGTCACGAGGCAGGACAGGTATATTAGACATTTTTTTGTGCCTTTCCCGCCAGCTGAAACCACAACTCATTCTCATTTTCTTCCATTTCAAATTCATGCATATCCTATTTCTCGTTTGCGAGCTCTTGCATTGGCAGGGTTAGTTGTACGGGGGACGGGGGACGACGGCCGTTAGGGTCTCGTCCTGTGATGCCGCTGTTTCTGCCTCCCGATGCCGCTGCTGCTAGGAGCTGCAGATAAAATCCTCTGGGCATGGGGAGGGTGACAATGCTTCACTGGGTGCATCGGTCGTTCCTTCTAGCGCCAAACGACCAACAGCCCACCCGCTTGCTATCGTTAAGTAGAGGCTAGGCAGAGGACGCAACACCGAAAGCGTTTCAGCGCTTCAGAATCGGCTTGACTTGAGAATCTGCGGACCGCAGTAGCAGACACAAGGTTCCAGCATTAAGAGATAGCCACTTTATACTCTTCCCCCCCTGCTAGTAGAACACAAAGAATCAAGGGATTTCTGCTACGATGTAGGTTAAGCATCTGCCGAACAGAACGTTCGTCCATTCGTACTGCCTCACCGTCCCCCTTATTCTGTTTGATGTGGACAGAGGAATGTATGGAAATTGCGTCCAGCTGCGAAATTCCTGAGAAATCATCAGAGGAGGAAACGTAAAGCAAAATACATTACTTTGCATACATAGACGGCCAGGAGGCTGCAAGATACAGCTCACTTAGTGGAGGCACCGCTGAAGGCAGCGCCCCAAGACACCACGGGAACTTACGAGGCAACACATCCGTCACTGCTTGTCTGTAGCCAGGACCCAAAGACGCCTGAAGCGGGTTGCGCTCGAGGTAGAGTGTGCCGAGAGCTGGAAGCTGCTGCAAGCAGCGAACCTTCTCAACAGTCGCCAGTTTGTTGTCATTCAGCTGCAGCAGCACCGGCAGCAGCACATATCCACCGTATGCTTAAGCACCGCAGCAGCCTTCGCATAAGCACCCCCGGAGCTGAGAACAGTCGTACGTATGGAAAATACGAAGGGTGAAGACACAGGAATGTATTCTGTTTTTGCTTACCCATAGATCCTGCAGCTGCGACAGAGACGCGATGTTTTCGACATCCTCGATTCTGTTGCAGGACAAATCAAGCACAGTCAGCTCCACCTGCAGCCCGCCCAGCCCATATCCACAACGATGAAGTCTTGGATTATCATGGACAGAAACAAGGCATAGGATAAGCAGTGCACGGGGGTCTAAGAAGGGAAAAGAAGCATATTGGAGGACGCGGCAGCACCAAGCAGCAGACACGCAATGGTTACCAATGATTAAAAAATGTATTACCAGCTGGCGAATCTCCGTCGGAGGCGACGGAATATTGTTGTGCGATAAATACAGCTCGCGGAGTTTAGGGCAATTCTTAAAGAGATCAGTTTCCCACTCTTCGATGCGGTTGGACTGAAGGCTGACCCGGGTCAGCTGGGGGAGATGCGGCAACTCCTGCACATCCCCACCACAGATGTATCTCACCACTAACAAAGCATCGATGCCAGGAACGCTCGAGGAATAACTTAGGATCAGATGCAGCACCGCCATCACCAGCAACGGCAACACCGTATGAGACAAGAGGAAGCGAATGATGCCGCAAGGCGACAAACGAACACGAACACGATAAAGAAACACCCGTACAGCCAACCCCGAAAACAGTAGCACCCCAGAACCACTGGGGTTTATCCCCCTAGAAGCTGACACCTTCACGCGCCCCCCACCAGTGTCCACGGCAGTGGTTGGGGTGGCACCCTACACGCTACAAACTGCTGCTGGGGGCCCGCCGCCATAGCCAGAAAGAGTCCAGGCGACAAACGACTGCGTTGCAATGCGACACACTGAGCATGCACGCAGCAGGCAGCCCCCCAAAAGCCTGAAACCGAGATACAGCATAAACGCTAAAGCCTATACCCACCATGCGAGTTATTTTGTTTCGGCCCAGCCACAATTCATTCAGATTTTTCAGGTTTTCTATGCCTTCTACGACGCGAATCCTATTCGATCCCAACTCCAGCGTGCGCAGTTCCTTTAACGTCGACAGGCCCTCAATCTGCTCAAAGGAAAGCAGCACAAGGAGGCCCTACGTGAGTGTTGCTGCTGCTTTTCTGTTGCTCTTTGTTATATGTTGCTTGTTTTGTTGTTGCTTGTATGACGCACGCACCTTGGTGATTTTGTTGCTAGAAAGAAACAATTCCCTCAGATTGACGAGGGTTTCAAGATGCTCAATACGTCTGATATTGTTAAAAGACAAGTCCAAGACCCTGCAGCAACCACAGCAGCGCATCCTCACACAATGGCGGCAGGAAGCAGCGATCCACCTTGAAAAGGCTCGGCATAAGTAGTCACAGAAAAGAATAGAGGCAACGGGAACATGAGGACAAACCTGAGGTGTGTTAGGTGCTGGATGTTATCTATGCGCTTTATGTGGTTCTGGTACAGCTCCAGCTGCTCCAGCGTGGGGCCCTGCTCCTCGAGGCCTTCAATGACCGTCACTTCGTTTGCAATCAAAGCAAGTTTCTATGCACGCAGAAACCGCGTCAACAGCAGCAGCAGCAGCAGCACACATTTGTTGTTGGAGTCAGCTTGAATGCTGAAGAATGTGTGAAGGTCGCAGGCCCACGACACATCTCCCCCCCGGCTGCCGCCCGTGTATGCTTTACGGCTACGTCTGTACAGAGCAGAGCCTTTTACGGACTTTAAGTTTCTTGAAGTTGTTGAGGTTCTCGATCTTGAATATGCGCGAGGCCTGGAAGACGAGCTCCTCGTCGTCGGGATTGAGAGGAATATCGATCCCGAGGCGCTGGGCGTGCAAGCTGTTGCCTTCTTCATCTGAAGAGGAAGCGTCTGAGCCTTTGCACACGCTCTCTGACTTTCTAGGGGTGGTGCTGGCATCTTCAGCCTCCGCACCTACTCCGGCTGTCGGCGCGCTAGAGGGCGGTGGGACCCCCTCGGCGGCTTCCTTGCTCTCTAGGCAGCAGTTAACACACACACAGAGCAATAAACTTGAAATTCTTGTCATAAATAATTATATAGGGCTATATATTCAAGAAATTTACGCGCCGCTGCTCACCAGACTCACCGGGTGGGTCCATCTCCCATGCTGTAATAATCACTGGCACTATGATGAGCCTACGGACTTCACTGAAGAATGAGGAACTCCAAAAGAATGACAAAGTATGAAGGAATTCAACTCGATGATTCTATTCACTAAAGCAGAAATGGCTAGAGCACAGGGTCAACAAGGCACGAGTAGCAGCGATTGGGGCTGGATGAAACTGTGTGTGTTGTGAAGCGCAGGAAGGCGGTTAGAGAAAGCGTTCAACAGTAATTATCTGCAGAACTCCCAACTCTTTTAAATACGCATTTTTGCGTCTTAAATATAACTACAGCTCGGCCTGCGCCCGCACGATACCTTGGGCGCGGAGTACATTGCCCCTGTGTATTGTTTATCAATAGAGTAGCACGGCCTGTGTCTGAAGTTATCGAAAAAAACATTCATTTGGCCTTGATAGTCAGCCTGCAGGCAAGTGCATACAGAGCTCAACACGTGTCTACAGAGATAAAGCATGCTGCGGCTGTGCTTACCTGTGAGCTTCGCTTGGATCAGTAGTTGCAGCGAAAGGCGCCGCAACTACTGTCGCGCTGCCTGCTCCCCCGCAACCCCAGGCCCTGAGCTGCGGCGCCCAGGGTGCCTGGAGTCAGGGGACGGGGCTAGCTGCTTTTACGGAACACTAACCTTGAGTGTGATGCGAGCTCTCCAGTTTCATAGCGTGTTGCGATGAAGCCAAATGCCCACGGTAACAGTTTACCCAAAAGCAGTTGAGCTCCCTCACCTGCCCCACAAGAATCCTGGGCTTTCAGCTCAGGGCCTAGCTGGCGATCCAAGCCAGCCTCACGTGTGATCACGAGAAAGCTTCAACGAAGCTTCCTTTCCTGTATGCTTCACCTTTGTATGCGCTTCTATAGCGTTTGTATCTGTTTGCATGCAACATACCAAAGCCAACTGAACGTTCCTGTGCTAACTGCAGACATGCCATGCTATGCTGAGTCTTTACAACCTCTTTGTCCCCACTGCAGCTCACGACGGTCCATGGATAAGACAGAGGATTCTCGCAACAAGCAACAACTACAATGCCAGCGACAAGCGGGAGCCGTCTTTGCATGTCTAGAAATGTTCAGCAATAAGAAACACGCTCCACTTTAGTACAGTATTGAGAAAACTATAGGCGATCTATGTAAGCAAGAGAAATAAATAACAACATACGGTTGCAGAACCCGCTCGGTTATAACGATGAAGGCGAGTGCCTGCAGTCACCAGCACAACGAAAGCTAGTTGGCGCATAAATGCTAACGTTTGAAATACCCAAAGCACAGGCTGCGGTGTTTGTCTACTCGACTTTAGACGAGTTCCAGCCAAATGTATTTGTGCAGCTCTTCACACTTTACTGAAGCTCTCGTGAAACGGGCATTGCCCTACAAGCGAATCGGCCGCTCACCCTGGTCACAGGGAAGGGCTAAGCAATGGAAACTATCTTAAGATGAACGCGACAAGACGGATTGTTGGAGGCCCCACAGCGCCTTTCGATATTATTGTAGCATGGGCTGGCTGATTTAGGGAATATTCACTACAGTCACAACCCTAGCTGCGAACCTGGCACTTGTGCAATCCTCGTTCGCTCATTCCCTATTGCATGGGCGAGGTCCTGTAAGGCACCAGGTCTGATGTGTTCTGAAATGTAGTTTAAACACAAACTGGTTGAGTGGAATGCACTCCTACTGATTACACAAAGTACGGGGTACGCTTTCGAGCGACACTTCAGGATATGGTGAGGCGGTATGCATGCATATATGTATGTATATATATCTAGTTCCTCAGTGTCCGCATGATAGGGGGACACTGTAATATATTTTACTTCGAGGTAAGGACGGGGCTAAAGGCCTGAGGGCTCGCTGGCCAGCAGCGCACCTCCTCTCCTACAGTTCCCCCCAGTGACAAGCCAGTCTACAGACCCGGATTGAGTTAGCTATGCACCCAAACATGTTGGTATAAATTGTTTTTAGCTGTTAGAGCTACTCGACACAGGCTGCAAAGTGCGTATGGCACCTGAGTTACGGCGAGTGGAAACCACCTACCTGTATTTTCGTTCGCACAGTCTGTGTGGCTACCCTTTTCTGACTGCAGACGCATATAACATACAGCCCCTTAACGCTAAAGTGCAACTTGGAAATGCAGCGGGATGCGTGCCACAGAGAAACGGTTGCAAACGAATGCTCCTGTCGCGGTAGAGATCCGCGTCTCATTGACGAGCAACAGGTGGGGGCCGACTACGAACACAAAGGGGAAAACATGTGAGAAATAAGGAAAATTTCACCCGTCAAAGAAAAGTGAAATAGCTAAGTACAAGCTCTAGCACCGCATGGTTTCGATCCATGGACCTGGGGGTTATGAGCCCCCCACTCTCCCACTGAGCTACGGTGNCACCGCATGGTTTCGATCCATGGACCTGGGGGTTATGAGCCCCCCACTCTCCCACTGAGCTACGGTGCTGACGTTGCCGACGACTTGGATTCTTTTTCATCTCGATGCAATTGAAACAGCAGCATTATTTCTTTTTATTTGTTGCACACTATTTCTGTGTGTTTCTCCATTGTTTTCTTGCGGGAAAAGCCCCCTCGTTTTTCAGATTACAACCGGCTGTTGTTGCTTTATAGGCAGCTTGCCTCGAATCCATCTTTTTAGAGAAATACTTTGAAATTCACCTCAAATTTAGAGAAATTAAATGAGAAGATGAATGAAATTGAGAAGAAATAATGCAAACTTGCGGCCTTGAGTGATCGCTTGTTGCGCTACAGACAGCTACAGGGCTGGCAGGCGTCGGCAGCCCCCTGTAGCCCCGGTTTTCTTGTTGACTTTCGCATATATGGGACCAGAAACTTCAATTTTTAATGTTTTTCTTCACTAAAAGGGATATTTGTGAGGCTGGAAAGCTGCAGACATATGCTTCCGCGGCGGCCCCTGGCTCCAGCAGCCCTGTCGCTGCCGAACCGCTCGGGGCACGTGGGTCCTGTGTTCCTCTTTTGGCTGGCTGCCACGCAATTCAGAATTGTCTTGATTTCTTAAAGCTTCTCCTTGCTTTCAGCCGCTGCTGGCATCCGCTTTCCACCTGCGCAGACTGGTGACTGGGGGCCCCTGGCTGGGCCCGACCGCGTCGGGCAGCAGTCACTGGAGGGGCCCCTCTCATTACACCAGAGGCAGCAGAAGCAGGAGGAGCAGCAGCAGCATAACTGATAGCAGCAGCGGCAGCAGCAGCTGCGCGAGTTTATGGAAACTGCTGCTGCAGCTGATGCTACAAGATGGGGGCTACTCCCACCACGCTGCACCCCTCTGCACGAGGCCGGTTGCTGGAGGCAAGGACGCACTTCCTGCACAAGGGGCAGCACTCACGAGAAGCCTGCAGCAGTACCACCAGCATCACGGACTCTCAGTTGCTGCAGCAGCACCTGCATCAGCAGCTGCAGCAGTTGGGCTCCACGCACCTTTCTGACGCCGAAATAGCAGATGTTATAGAAGGACGCGTGCCCTTGCTGCTGCAGATCGATGGCAGTAGGGGGCCCCCTCTGAAGGTATGGGTACAGAGGGCTTTGCGGCAGCAGAACTCAGGGCTTGCTGAGGGGGAGGCGGTGCTGCAGTGGGGGCCCCAGTTGCAGTTGGTGTGTACAGACAGCCAGATTGCCTCACAGCTGCGAGTCCTTTGGGGCAGAGTTTCTGCAGCAGCATCAGGAGAGGCTGCTGCTGTTGCTGCTGCAGTGACGACGCCGCTAAGCTGCGACCGCGAGCTTGACCTTCCAGTGTTGCGTTGCTGCAGCAGCAGCTGCTGCAGCACAAGTCCTGATGTTTATACTGAGCTCAGCTCCTCAGGCCTCGCCCTTCTGCGCGTTTCGGCCCCTCCTACTCCCTGGGTGACGGCGTGCTTATGGAGAAAGCGTTTCTATTCTACAGTCGTTGGCTTGCTGCAGCAGCAGCAGCAGCAGCAGCAGCAACAGCAACTGCTGCTGCCGCAGCATGGGAATGAAGAAACTGTCGCTACACAGATTGCTGATACCTTGCCCATTCGTCTGTGGCAAATTGAATGGCTGAGGCTGCAGAGGCTGTTTCGAGAGTCGCTTCAAGCGCTGTTCAATACACTGCAGCAGCAGCAGCAGCAGCAGCAGCAGAAACCATCTATGCAGCAAGAGGCAGAGCAGCAGCTGCAGAAACGCTCTCCTGTAGATTGCCCATACGTGAGCCTAGCGTCTCGTCTTACTGCCGCCTTGGCAGCTTCAGCTGCCCCAGCAGCTGCAACAGAAACAGCAGCAGCAACAGAAAAAGCAGCAGCAGCAGCAGCAGCAGCAGCAGCGTCTGAGCACGGAGGGGTTCAATCGTGCTGTTGTGGTTTATGCGGGCCCGAGGTTCTCGAGGAGGGCAGCGTCTGTAGAGAGGATTGTCCTGACGACCCCAGCTTTTGCTTGCCTTCTGCTGCTGCTGCTGCTGCTGCTGCTGCTCCTGCAGCTGCTGCTGCTGGGGGGGCTAATCCATTAGGCTCGCTGCTGTCTGAGGAGGACAGACAACAGCTCTTAACGGAAGCTCGCGAAGAAAGCCTTAAAAGGGAGCCTTTGC